AATGGATACTGTTCGTTCCTCATAAGCTGGGCTAAGAGGTGCTCACACTGCAGCTGACTGTGTCCGTAAATGCTGGCATAGCTGTCAGCAAGATTTATTGTGCATTTTCGCCCCCACAATGAGAATGCAAAAGTAAGAAGGATGAAGAGATTTTACGTGTATCTACGACTGCTGAGGCATGAGAACACCACTTTAGCCAGCCCTTAATACAAAAACCACAGTCCACTTCCTTTGAAGTTTTAAGAGCTTTGTGAAAGGTGTCAGAGGAGATGGAGATCAGCCTGAATGGCAAACATCTCTGCAGGGCTCCTTTGGGCTCTGGAACAACTTGAGTGTGCAACAGAGGGATAAGGAGATGCTAATCTGGGGCCGACATGAAGAGTTGTCACAGCACTCTGCTTGGCAGCTGAGCTTTTCCATGTGCACCTGTACACCAGTGCCATGGGTAATGGTACAGAGACAATGCAAAAGGTCAGTGACACTGCACTACTGCTGGGCTCTGCTGGATGCTGGCATACATCAAGCCAATATTGCAGTGGAAACAGAACTGCTCTTTGGAGAGCTAAATCTCCATATTGTATAGCAGCATCACCAGCATCTTCAGATCAAGCCACTGTACTGGTAAGCCTGGGAGGGTAATGGGGCTTCTAGCTGCACAGCTGGATGGCAGCTCGTAGTGGGTTTCTGTGGCTGGGTTTTGGTAGCAGGGGGGCAGGGGGTGAGCTACAGAGGTGGCTTCTGTTAGAAGCTGCTAGAAGTTGCCCCTGTCCCGTGGAGCCAATGTCAGCTGGCTCCAGGACGGACTTCCTGCTGCTGGCCAAGGCCAAGCCAATCAGGAGAAATAGTAATGCCTCTGCTATAACATATTTAAGAACATAGCTGTTGTGCAGAAAGAATTCCAGCCAGGGAAGAATGGAGTGAAAACATGGGAACAACAAAGTAGACACCAAGATCACTGTATAAGGAGGGGGAGGATGATCTCCAGGTGCTGGAGCTGAGGCCCTGCAGCCTGTGGTGAAGACTATGGTGGAGCAGCTGTGCCCCTGCAGCCCATGGAGGACCATTGGGGTGCAGAGACCCACCTGCAGTCCATGGATGCCTCAAGGAGGCTGTGACCCCATGGGAGGCCCAAGATAGAGCAGGGTCCTGCTGGAGACCTGCAGTCCATCGAGAGGGAAGCCCACGCTGGAGCAGGTTTTTCCCGGGTAGGACTTGTGGCCCCTGTGGGGGACCCACATCAGTACATCTCATTCATGAAGAACTGCACCCCATGGAGGAGTGACCCATGGGACAGCAGTTTGGGAAGAACTGCTGCCCGAGGGATGGACTCATGCCGGAGGGGTCTATCAAGGGCTGTCTCCTGTGGGAGGGACCCCACAGGAGCAGGGGAAGGACTCCTCTCCCTGAGCAGCAGCAGAAGCAACAACTGACCGTAACTCCCATTCCCTGTCCCCCTGCACCACTGGTAGGGAGGAGGGAGAACATGGAAAGAAGGAGGGTTGGGGAGAAAGCATTTTTAAGATTGTTTTATTTCTCATTCTTTGGCTCTTATCCTGTTAGTAATAAATTTAATTCATATCCCCACTTTGAGTCTGTTTTGTCCATGAAGGTAATCAGTAAGTGACCTCTCCCAGCTCTTAACTCATGAATCCTTTGCTGTTTTTTTTCTCTCCTCTATTCAGTTGCAAAGGGAGAGTGAGAGAGTGGCTTTAGTGGGTACCTGGCATCTGGCCAGGGTCAACCCACTACAGAGCTCTACAGCTACCTTTCACAACAGCTACAGCTAGATGTCATACCCCTGTAGGAATTTGGAAGGAATGTACTTGTCCTGTCACTTGCAGTAATGCTTTTTAAGCTGTTTCATTGCAAGGATGTGCTGTTCAAAGAAAAAAAACCTTTATGCTTCTTCATGGTGTTCTTAACAGGAATAGCTGTTCTTTCTTATATATGTCACATATGGTAAAGCTATTTAGTATATAATAGCCACTCAAAGGAGGTGAACAAATTGAGCCAACATTTTCAAGAAACTCTTAGGTTCACAACTCACAGTTTAGGTTCTTAGTATATCTCTTATTATATATTTGCCAATAAAGAGGATTTTCCATGCACAGGTTTACTGCAGGTACCTTTGTTTCCTTAGCAGCCTTTTTACCTAGAGGCTCTAGCAACTTGCACTCTCCTCACTGCAGAGTAGCCCTGTGGTTTTTTCCTGACTCTTTAATGAAAGAGTGAAGATGCCTAAGCCAGGAAATGAGTGTCTATAACACGTCCATGTGTCTCCCTCCCCACTGCAGGCAAGCGCAAGAGGCAACCCCCGTCTTGTGGGTCAGAAGAAAGACGTAACTCTGACATCCATATTTTTAAAGATGAGGTGTTATGTAAGATGTTAAAGACCAATTCATTCCTCTTTTCCTTGGGAACACTGGAAGTGCCTTCACATGTATTATAAGAGATCAAGTTTACCTGTAAGACTTTGTCTGAAACTAACTCTTCCTTCATGCCTTTGGGCCAATCAATTTACCTGCTCTGTGTCTCCTTTTTCCATCTGTAAAAAGACCAGATCAATAGCATTCCTTTGAAGGACTGCTACATGTGGCACTTCATTAGAGTGTCACTCCTATTACTGTGGTGAAGCCCAGCTAGAATTTTATCGTTATCCGTGATTAGTATAGATACAATGCTATTATATTATGATTATGTCCACCAACAAGAGCTCCAGATCCAAACAACCTCTGAAATTTTATTTGTCCCAAGTCTTTTATCTGCCATGCACAGAGAAAGCAGCTTTTACTTGGCTGGGTTTGTCTGGCATTAAGAAAATGGGTAATTTACAGGAAGACTGGGGACTTCATTCTTTCCAACCCAAATTTGGGGAACTGCAAACTTCAAACTATGCCTGTAGATACAACACAATTGGCAGGAAGCTCTCTTTAACATAAAACATGTTGGTTTTGTTGTCAACATCTTACACATTTTTCTTCCCACAAGTGTTGCATCTGAGAAATCCTGGAGAAACACTGAACTCCACAACAGTGCAGATAGAGCTAGAAGATCGTTGCTTAAGGGATTCTTGCTAGTGCCCCAAGCTTTCCAATGTGATATGTAAGTCGCTGTCTTTTGGAATGGGCAAAATGATCCAGTATGCAATTTTCTTGTGCTAAATCACTGTCTGGGTGTGCATTTACCATGTAGCTTACTTACAGTTTCAGTCTAGAGATTTGAGTCCAAATCCAGATCTGGATATACCTCCAGAGCCCTCAGCAATGCTTCCCCCTGTTACACTCAACACCCACACACTATGTTTAGAAAAGAAATTGAAACTACCTGACCATGTCAATCTTTCAGCAGTCAATTCCTAGTAATTAAGAGTCAAGAGCAAAGCAGCTGTTTCTACTGAAGGAAAAGGATGGATGTGAGGGTTTATTTTGGCATAGTCTGCTAATCACCAGCTCTTGGGTGCAGAGGACAGGGAGTTTCCAAAGTAAGCTCATGATGGCATTCAGCACCTCTAGTTACCAGGTGTGATGGGCTATGCCATTTCTTTTACTTACAGATGGCTGAAGGACTGGTTAGATAAAAAAAATTAATTAGTTGGAAGCATTGGTAAGTAATTTTTAGCAATACAGAGAAATCTATATAGGGAGGAATTTGTTAAGTAGAAAGAGATAATAATGTTAATTTCCATGTTATTTCAAAAATCTGGACCTAAGGAGAAGAGGTCAAATACTAATAAACCAGGCAAAGTGCATTTACCATGGTTTTGTTCCATGCTGGTATTTACAGTAAGAAACAGATATTTGCTAAAACATTTGAACATCATTGATAAAGGCTGTTATCCTCTGTGCCAGGTTTTGTACTGTTTGAAGGACCTAGGCCTCCTTTGTTACAAGTGTGTCAGGTCTCTCAAAGAGCTCATTCCTGACTCACAGGATAGACGCAAGACACATCTCAGGACCACTAGTCTTCCGTAGCACATTCAGATGAACACATTTCTTGGGACTGAGAAATTAGTCGGTCAGTGTGGATAATGATGTAGAGTCCATATCACACTGCTTTATTCTTAGCACCATGCTGCTTAGGCTGGAGTTCCTGTGAAAGGAAAGACATGGCATTTAAATAGTCATCATCCTGTAAGGTCACATCAGGTTAGTATCCAACATGATGGGAGAAAATGCAGTTTTACAGAAAACTGGTTTTATCAGGGAAAAGATCAAGATTTTCTCCATGAGAAGTTTGTTTTAGATAAGATGGAAGCAGAAAATTCTGGGTTTTGTGGATATTTTTCTTTTTCTCCCAGGACTTTGGGTGCCAGGCATGGAGACTCTGTTGGAGGGTACTGTCAAGTGTCAGCCGCTCAGGAACACTGAAGGAAAGGTGTGTTGGAAGGTAAAAAAGTGTCTCCTAACACATTTAAAAGCAGTCCTACTTTCTACTTGCCTTAGAAAGCCACCCACCATGACCCTGCTTTGAGTGGTGGTTACTCCCCAAGATGATCTCTGTCAAGAGATTTGACAATCAGCAATATGGATTCTGGCTATAGCAGCAGAGGACTCTGCTCAGACAAGTGTATTTTTCCGAGAAGGACAAGCTATTCCAGCTAAGGTCAGTGTTGCGATCAGCACATTTTCATTTTTTCATCTCATGCAGATTATCAGCATTGCAACTCAGATTCTGAGACAATGCTGCATTGTCTGCATGGATATCCTGAGCCCATGTAAGCCAGGATCACCCTGGATGCTGCAAGGATCTCACTTGATAATAACCTTTCAGTAGTGCAAGCCAGCCCAGCTATCTCCATTTTTTGCTCTCAAATGAAGGCTTGGGTCTAGTCAGTTCAATTGGGCATCATTGTCCTCCTAACCCTTCGAAACAACGGAGTTATGGATTCTGCCAGCACCCATCAGTCCTTTGTTATCTAAGTTTGCCCTCTGGATGAGGCAAGATCCAGTGTCCCTAACATAGCAGAGTGAACACTTGCATCTCTACCCGCCTCTCCCTGATGCAGCTGGCAAAGCTTTTCCTCCACACGATCCAAGAACACAGTGTGAGCACAACGCTGCCATCTGTGCTGCTGGGGGCAGAGAAGTACAGGTACATCAGACCTACAAAATAAAACAGGAGTAGCTGTCATACAGATGATCTCAACAGGTTTATCAAAGAATTCATTCTCAGACATGTTTCAGTCTTGAATCAGAGCACAACATGTTGAAATGCCTAGAGACATTTGTGTTCAGCCAATTCATGTGTTTTACAACAACAAGCATATTGACTTGCTACTATTTGGTGGAGTTACATTCACAACTCAGAATCTGTCACCGTCTACACTGGTTCCCCAAACATTTTAATTTTTTATGCAAATGGCAGCTGTTTTATAATGAAAATAGAGGTATTCTGCTTTTTGAGATCTCTACATTTAAGTGTTTGGTATATATATACAAACCATTAAGGCATGCACCTTACCTGCATATTCTGAAACAGTCTGTGTCTTTGAACAGTCTAATATGGACATCTTAATTCCTACAAATTAATTACCACATACAATGCTGTATAATCTTCTGCTAAAGGCTGAAATAAGAAAATGTTCCCCAAGAGACTATCTCTCAAACTCCATAAAAGTCAACAAGAGGTGGAAACAGAATTACATTCTTGAAAATCTAAAGGAAATTAATGGTCCATGTTTCTAGATCTCCAGTAAAATGACATTTCCCTTAGGATATGCCAGCTGTGCTCTCAAGATTGCATGATCCAAAATATCAGGAAAGAAATATAATTAAGAATTACTATTATTATTATTTCAAAATATTTTTAAGCAGAGAAACCTAGAAGTTTTGCTTTAATGTCACTAACTGTAAATGAAGCAGATTTAGATGGTCAGGGACTCTTTAACAGTAGCAGCTATGGATCCCATTTGCTTCCACAAGGCTTGTATGTAAGAAATCTCTTATCAGAGTCCTTTTGGTTCCTTTCAGTGAATCAAGTCCAGGATCTGAAAATATTAAGCAAACAGTATTTATAAGCTACAGAAAAAGCTGTCTGGACTCTAGGATTTGAAAAGCTATGCTTATTGTTAATCAGATAGGATCTAGAAAAAGGAACACAAAGACATATACAGTAAACATAAACAAAAATATATTCTGTCCATGGCCTTTGCTATGAATGTACAAAGAAAGTAGTGTTTTATGCTACATTATATGTATGTCTGTGTACTGTAACTAGTGTGTAGTAAATTATTTTTAAAAAAGCTATCCTTACAAGAGGTGGAGCTACAGAAACTACACTAAAGGGCAGGCATCCCATTGTGAACTATCCACCACAGACTGTTGTATCTACCATGACGACAGCAGGCACTGGACATGAATCAGCTGCCTGGGACTAAACCCCCATTACAAGATTGAAATTGCAGTCTTATCAGAAACATTGACATTGACAAGCAGTTCAGCTACTAATCCTGCTTGTATCAGATATCTTAAATCTAAGTGTCTTTGCATGAGTGAACTATTTTCTATAATCTGAGTCTGTTATTTATTAGGAAGTGGACTTCCTCTGATTTTGAAACTTGAGGGGAAAAACTGATGTTTGGTCTATAAGCTTCACCTGAGGCACTTAAGCCAGTTGTGTGGGTTCAGTGCTCTTATTCCTGCTTCCTACTGTTCAAGCACAGGTTCCTAATTTCTTTAACACAATGAATGTGCATGTTGTCAAGGACTAACCTGTGTGGTTTCTTCTGAGATACAAGATGGAAAATCAATAACCGTCATGTTCTGGAGGTATCAGCATCATCTGCATGAATAGGAAGATATATTTCCTTGATTAATTGAACAAGATAAAATCAAAATGGCCAGGTTAGGCAGCCGGATGAATGCCCTGTGAAACCACGGAGGGAACAAAAATGGTGTGTGAAGTTACATGTTGAATACTTGATTGTAATGAATATTTAACTGTGGGTTGATGGATGTGATCACATCAGAACTGCATAGGAGAGAATGCCACAAGGAGGAGAAAATACTGTACATTGGTAATTTACGTACTTTACTTGTTGCCTTTCCCTTGCCTTTTTTAATTCCTTTCTGACTGAGTTCTGATTTCCGTTTAATGAAGCGTTTCTGTCCTAGTTAGGACAGCTGAGATCAGTTCATCATGGTGGGTGTAACCCAAAACTGTATTCTATAGCCTTCCATGTCATTTCCCAGAAACTAGACTATTGTTGTCAATAGACTATTCGCACCCTCTGCCCATAGAGCCTACTCCTC